ATTGTTTGTGTGATTTTTTACCTCCCAATGCCTTACAGTCCTGCCCATCATCTCTCAGCCCTTTTCCCAGTCTGTCAGGAGCATGTCAAATTCCCATCCTGGCCTCTAAAGTGCTGGGGTGTCACGTGCAGATTTTGAAACATACTCTGTTCTGTCATTTAGGTCATTCATGGAAAAGCAGAGCAACAGCAGCAGCAGGGCTGACCTTTCTGAAACCTTTCATGTCCCTTTCAGTGTAACTGTGAGCCATCAGTGTTCACCAGCTCTGTGATGGACCTGGGAAATGCCTCCACAGTGCTGTACAACCAGGAAACATCTGCCTGTGGCACCCATGGGTAACCTGGCATGAGAACCAAGGGATGCTCTTGAGGAGCTGCTGGGACACGGGGACACAAGCACATCAGTCCAGTTGTGCTGCAGCTTCTCTGCTGCCCAGGGTTTCCTGTGGGGTTTCTGCAGTGTTGTAGGTGGGATGGGGCTAGGTGAGAGCTGGGATCACGGCCCAATGGAGGAGAGAAGATGCCATGTGGGGAGTGGGTCTAGCAGGTGCTGACAGACTGAGAGCTGAGCACCAGCCTGAGCTCCTGGAGCACAGGTTGGTGGAAAGGTTTGGAGCTCACGTAGAGAAGAGAAGGCAGAAGTTTCTCATGCTGCTTGCTGGGTGCATGTTTGTTCTGGGGTGCATGAGCTGGCCCACAGCAAAGTACAGCGGGGTGAAATGGTGAGCGGAGCTGCACGAGGCTCAGTGGCTGGAGGGTGCAATGGGACATCCTGTCTGCTTGCTGTTGGAAGGAGATCATCCAACCGTGGCGGCTGGGTGCTTTGAGGTCTCCATCTGTGCTGGCTCTGAACCTCATGGGACATAGAGCCACAACATGAGTGTGATGAACTTGGGGCTGGTGCTCCAGGGCAGGAGGCTGGGCTCTGATAAAGGGTCCAATACGAGAGCAGGCTGCCTGCTCACATCTCCTCGGCCGTCTGCCAGAGGAGGTGTGGATCCGGCTTGTCTGGCTGCTGTTGAGATGCCTGAATATGCATCTGCGAGAGAGACTTCCAGAGGATCCCACCCTCCCAGGTTTCCATGGAGAGAGTCTCTTTGTTGAGGAGGAAGCCGTCTGGCAGACAGAGTGGCCGTGGAAATACCTATAGAGCATTTGTTTTCCAAAGCACATGAATAACATCCCCAACAGCTAGCAGCCTCACTTCCTCTGCTCACCCACCAGCGGCCTGGCAGAGCGACCTGGGATGCCTGCGGGGTCTTTATGCTCCCAGTTTCTCACTGCGTGCTTGTCTGAGCATTCCCAGTTTGGCTGTGGCTGCCCAGCCCAGCCCAGTTTCGTTTCTAGTTGGCAGGCACGGCTCCTGGCGCGGGGCTGCGGGCAGGCAGCGGCCCATCTTTGCTGGGGGACACGTTTGGCTTCCCCGCTGGAGGGAAGAGTGAGAGCGCTGTAGGCGGCAAAAATGGGAAAAGTTTTGCTCCCACCTCCCATGGGATGTGAAGGAAATTGCTTCCCTGAACGAAATGTCCTTTCTCTGGTCTCAGTTCTTTCTCATGCTTTGAAAGACCAAGAATCTTGAGAGCTGTTGAGGCAGCAGGCAGCAATGCAAGGCACATGCAACAACCCACAGTGAAAGGGATTAAGCTTGGGTTTTTATGGCAGTCTGTCAGCATTAAATTAAGACTAAATTCCCATCCTAAATGTTATGTTAACATGAAGTTACATCAAAAAGCACAGAGCACAGAACAGCAATATCAGAGTATCAGATGTGTTACAGGGGTATTGTAATTATCCCAAATCAGGCATTTGAAACCCAGGGAATTTCAGATATAGGGTTTGCATCGTTTTTTGGGTTTGTAATTGAAAAAAATCCAGACATCGGAAGGCTTAGAAGCATGTCACTGAGATTGTTTGGGTGCCTTTATCCTGTGCTGCGGGGACATGGGCAGATGGAGGCAAAGAGTCTTTAAAAAATGATGGAACCAAATGTGGAATTACAAATGTTAAAATACCATGAGCTGTATTTGAGTGTTAAGGCATTGTGGCTCTCCAGGGTAACATTAGGGCTGCTGGGCCTTGACTGTGCATCTCCATATCTGGACATATTTGGCTATCACTAGTGCAGCTCACCTCTGTGCCTCATGCTTTGTAAAACTCATAATTGGAGACAGTTTTAAGTCCTGTAGCATCGTTTTGTTTAAGTTAAGAATGCGTACTTAATTCTATCTTAGCTTATGCTTTTTTTGTCTTCTGATTTCCATGTTTTTTCAGAGCTGGATGAGGATTAAACAAAAACCCAGAGGAATATAATTGTAGCATAATTCTGAGGAGATGTAGCAAGAAGCTGTTTTTTGGCTGTGCTTTGTAAAAAGAGATTCCTCATTGTGTCAGGGCAGGATGGTTACAGTGGGCGTGCGGAAGCTCCACGGATGCAGAGTGGGTTGTGAATTCAGCCCTGTGACTGGTGTGTGCAGCCCAGCTGGGCAGCTGTGTAGTGGCACTGCCTGGTGCCGTGAAATTGCTTGCCTGGAGGAGTTGGTGGAGCAGCAGTGCCCATGGCAGAATGTAGCTGCAGCCATGAGGAAGCTGTGGAGCTGGGAGATCAGCTGGTGAACCACCACTGGCAGGGCTGTGGTGTTCCTGCAGACAGAAAATGATGACAGATCAGTTGAAATGGCTCTGCAGGGAGCACTGCATGCACTATCATAAAGACTGGAAGCTGCCTGTAGCTTCCAGTCATACAAATTAGATATGACAGTCATTAATAATTAGCTTTATCCTAACCTGTGGTACCTGAAGGAACCTGAGCAGAAGATTTACACTGGGCAGTTTGCCTTCCAGCAATGTCAGACAGAGTGGTGGGTCTGAAGCACCTTTGAGATCCTGCTTGGGAAAGCAGCTTTGGGAGGTCCTGGGCCAGCACTACACCCCTGGCATGTTGCTGTTAGGCAAAGGTCAGTTCTCTGCTGAAGGAGGAGCATTGCGGCAAGGAATATGAGATGAATGATGGTTTTCTTCCAGAGCTGCAGGCAGAACAGGGCAGCCAAGGCACTGTGCTGCAGAGGCAGCTCCAGCAGTGGGCAGGTGGGCAGGGCAGAGCTTGGGGTCTCTGGGTGCCTGAGCTGTTTTTCTGGCCCTTGACTCAGCTTTTATTCCTTAGGTTTGGCATCTGTTTGGGGGATAATGCAGTGGTGTCATGCTCCTGTTGGTGTGTTTCTGTCCTGCCTGGTGGGGCAGGAGGAGGTGAAGGGGAGTGATGTGCTGCCCTCCTTGTCTGGAGTTACCTGCATTGCCTTGGCAGGCTCTGGAGAGGTGCCTGCATGCCCAGCCCTGTGAGGCCTTGCTGCTTGGGTGGGCTGAATGCACTAATGTGATTTTCTGAGATGAGTGTTTCTATTTACTGTGTTACCCTGATTTCTGAGGCTGCCAAGTTCTTTGGGCATATCAGGAGGGCAGGCACAGCATGGGCCCAATTCCTTAATGACCAGCAGTGAATTGCCTGCACATGTGCAGTACAGATTTGAGACACCTTCTGTGGGAGTTTTTGGTTGTATTTTGTTTGGGTGGGGTTTTTTGTGGGTTTCTGTTTGTCTGTCTGGGAGGTTTAGGGGTTTATTTTTATGGTGGTGGGTTTTTTTCCTGTGGATTTTCCTCATTGGATGAGGTGTTCTCTATTTGTGGAATCCCTGCCCAACTGAACCTCCACCAGAGCTGCAAACTCCCATCTGCATACAGGCCTTATTTTGTGCTCCAATAATTTCAAGGCAACTCTGCTTCCCTGTGAGCCTGGGAGAGATCCACCGGGTGGGCACGTAAGGATGCCCTGGGGCAAAACGGAGGCGCCTCACCGCCGCTGCCGTCTCTCCCAGGGTGAGGACATGCGGCTGAGACAGGGCGAGTGAGCATCCCCTGAGCCGCACCGCCTTCCCGCGGGGAGCCGGCTGAAGGTGCGGCCGCCGAGGAGCGGAGCG